AATCAAAACACAGAAACTAAATAACTGGATTTCAACACTGATCCATTTCCATGATACATTAATCGGAGCCTTTGTGGGTATCAAAAAAAATCCACACAAGCAAATTAGTTCTATGTAACAGCCAAGCCCTCAGGCCCCAACATGAATACAGGCTAACATTTAACTGTCAAGGCTAAATACTTCCCTTTCTGCATAATGTCTGAATCATTGTACTGTAGGTGAGAGGCTTTCTCCTCTTCAGACTGACTCACTGGATGGCTGTGTGTTAACTCTAGTTGGTTTTTACACTTTAAGTCAAGCTTTCTATTGTGGCAAGAGTAACATCAGCAACAAAGTCCACAAAAGTCCACCCACTCAAAATGAGGCACCCCCTTTATGCTCTTGAAGCCCTGAAATCTCTTTAAGCTGTGAGCACTAACCTGTTTTGTGCTTCCTCTGCCCCTCAGAGAAGACCAGGTAAACAATAAAAACTGCGGTACTCCTAGTGGATCTGTGCACCTCTTTCTCTGGTGCTCATTTATCTACTTAGCTCTTGCCTTTTTCCTTATACCCCTCTCTCTATCTTTTCACCCTCACAGGGCAGGTCTTAGCAGGCTGCCTCATTCCTCAGTTATCCTGAAGTGCACAAGTGTATTCTTGCCCAAGCGGGAAAAAACTAGACTCCATCCAGCGTTGATATCCAATTCCACAGAAAATGTGTGTGAGAGTGTGTGTGTTGGGATGAATTTTGGGAGCAAGCTGTTCAGGCTGAGACACGTTGTCTCTCTGTAGGAATTCCATAGCCTGCAGGGCTGCAGCAGGAGCTGGGTGTGTTCCCCTGTTCATCACAAACACACAAGCCTTGTGCATACCTCACACACACACATTCCCTGCCCTAAAACACACCCTCCTTCTGCCAATAGACGCTTCAATAGAGCATTTGATCGTGTTTCACTTAGCTTTGGGGTAAAACATAATAGGGTGGGGGTAAAATATCAATATGTCAGTATCATACTGCTTCCTCTTGCGGTACAATAATAAAACACAATGGTTAGGAAGGACAGCCACTATAAACCCAACAACCTGACGTACTAGAGTTACTGCTCATTCGTGGTGGAACTTCTCAAATGAAAAAGAAAGTGAAAAAGTGAAAAGTTCTAGGGGGAAAGATATCAGCGGAAAACAAATCAGCGTACTATTAATCTGACATCTTTTCTTCCTGCCTAGCAGCTCCATTTTCAGCATTCCTTTATCCAGTATATCGCCTACCTGTGCACATGTATAAACCCTCTCACCCTTCCCTCTTTAACTTAATCTTCACACCATTAAACCTGAGCTATACCTCTGATGTACTCATTTCTAATCCTGTCCATACCGGTCCCTCCCAGGAAAATTAGCAACTGTCAACGTGTCCATCACCATCGCAAACAAGAAAGGGCTCAGTGCAGATCCCACCTCGACCTTAAACCCATCTGTCACTCCTCACCACTGTCTCGCTGTTCTCCTACATGTCCTGCACCACCCTCGCAAACGTCTCTGCCACTTCCTGATATAGTAATACAGTTCCTCTCTTGGCACCTTACCATATGCTTTCTCTAGCTCTATAAAGTGCAACCCCTGACCTTTTCTATACATTTCTATCAACACTTTCAAAGTGAACATTGAAGTTACAATCACAGAATAGCTGTATTACAATACCAACACTATTGTGGGCAACATGCAGTGACATTGTGGTGAGTCTCACTCCTAGCATAAACTCTGTTTGCATTTAGCTTTAAGCCTTTCAGCATAGCTTCAGGTAGCTGCTATTAGCATTTGCATTCTGCAAACTACTGAAACACACGGTGCACTTGTGTGTTTTTTTACATGGTGGCATTGAGTGCTGTAGAAATAATAATTTTAGACAACAGCCCAGGATCTAATGGTATTGAGTTTGCAATGATGTGAAACTGAAACAAAGAGAAAACTTTCACATTTAAGAAGCTAGACCCAATTTTTTTGCTTTTATGCTTTAAAAAAATACAAAATTATTAAAACTAGTCAAGTTTTCTTTCACACAATCACCTAAGTTTTTAATTGAGCAGTTATTTCAGCACTACTGAAATATGTGGCCTTTAAAATCTTCTGTCCCGCCAAGCCAGCAACATGCCTGTGCCTATACCATTTCTATTCCTCATTCCCCACTCTCTCACTACATCAGGGTACTTTCTATTCTCTGTGGTTGGCTGTGATCAAGGGAAGCCTACTTCCTCATCCTGGAACTCCCTGAGCCACAAAGGGTCACAGGATCACTCCAGCCAACCAGAGAGCGGAGAACACGGCCGGCAAGATGTTTACAGGAAGTGGACAACAAGTCTTTTGTATTCAGCTTCTATAAAAGGAAATTCTGTGGAGTACTTCCTGGAAGGAGTGATAATGAGTGATGGAAGGAGTGATGAAGCCATGCACACACACGCAGCTTTCTTCCACCTTCCTTTCATTCAGTGACATAAATATGCAGAAACATACAGTTAGATGAGAAATCACAAATTTATGTGCACCACACAGACAGAGACACAGACACACACACACTGTATTTACATTCTTCCTCTTCCCATTTACGTTCCTTCCCTGACCGTAAGTCTGACAGTAAATGAAGCGTATACACTCTGCCCAGCTGCACACCCACAATGAACACCTTATCCTGTTTTTCCAAACAGCTACCTCCCCCCGTGTCAACAGTTTAATGGCTCAAAATAATCAACCTGCAAGCAATTTGAGGGCTTTAGGCTTTGTATCAGGTACAGAACTAAACTCACAAATCAAAGTCGCAATGTTTTAGCTTCCTGCTCGACTACAAAAGTCACACTGTGGAGGGAGAAATGACAGGCACAGATTTACAAATGTATAGCACTTTTTGGCAAGCCAGCGTCACGTGACGCCCACATTGCTCCGATTTTCCAGGATGAAAGTTGTTTTGGCAAACACCTTTTAGAAAAAGTCATGTTTAGCTCTTGTTTTAAAAAAAATGTCTAGAACTGACTATTTATAATTATCTGATTCCTTTTCATACAGTCAGAATTGATCAAGTGCTGGTTTACAGTGCAATGTCTACAAGTTTGTTAGGAAACTACTAAATTCGTGATTGTTCTTTATCAATTTTAATTAGAAACAACAACAAAAATGCGTTTAAATGTCACAAAAATGCACTAATTAGGTTTAAATTTGACTTAAGTGTGTGATTTCTCTGCAAGTATAGGCTGTATTCATTTAAAGTCCATCTTACTTAAGTTAAAAATGTGGTCCTACAGATGTAAACCACATTCAAGAGTGCAACTTCAACACCTCACTCTCGGTACCGTCATTACTAAAGCAGGTTTTGCTTATTTATAGACTCATATTTGTAGAATACATTCCAGCGGTTTGTGTGAACACAGTCCCTGTAGACTGACATCACTTGGGTTAATTATTATATTGCTTTGACAATATGACAATGTGGCGAAGCCAGCCACAAACCCAATTCACACGGGTATTTTGCCTCCTGTACTTTATTATAGTTTTTTTTCAATCTCATCTAGTGATCAGTATGATCTAGTGCCTTCTCAGTAATTATGGAAGGAGATGCTATCCGGTTTGGGTGCTTCCTGTGCCAGAAAAAGATCTAACCGAAGCAAAATGTTTAAGACAAGTGTTGCACTGACTAGTGAATGAAGAAGTCTTAACTTACCGGTTGCTCTCAACCGCAAAACTCAACCACACTCCGGCCAAAACTACCGAAACTCCGCCCCGTGTCTGTTTGTTTTTAGTCCGTTTAAAGCCCAGATTTGACGCTGAGATTTCACGACAGTCCTCGCGGGTGCGAAAAACGAAGCCGTCTTTTATCACCCTACAGTTTGCCTTCTTTTCTCTCCCCGAGTGTTTTCAAGTTGACTCCGTGCTCGGGCCGGGGAGGAACCTGACGGAGAGGAAGCGAAACAAACCGAGCAATCGGAACCACGCGGCTTCCGTAGTGCTTTTAGGGCAAAACTCAAAGGCGCGTAAACGCAGCTTCTGCGCAACATCCGTGGCAACAACACCGGAAACAACAGATCTTTAATTTTCAGAATAATACCAAAAAGGGCTGTTCTGATAATATAAACGTATTATCTTCCTTTTTTTTAAAGTATTGATTAATTAATTCATAATTCTAAAACCTGGCACAATGATCAAAAACAAGAATTAGAATTTTTTTTGTGGTTTTTGAAAAAAATGAACCCAAAATATACTGCCATATGTTGTATTTTCTATGGTTAATAAAATATACTGGACTAAAATTATGATGAGATATTGAGCTGTCACATTAACAGTAAACAGATGTGTAAAGTAAAGTACTGTCTAGATCAAAGATTCAGGTTTTGATCTATCCCCCATTTCTTTATATTGCAAGAAAAAGGTGAAATGGGTTCTTTTAATTTCTTTAAAAATGCCATCAGGAATCGTTCTCCATGTTTCTTGAAGGACATTCAGGGCTCCTCTTTGGATAGTGGTAGATGATCCCACACATCTTCAATAATGTTCTGTTCCAGGCTCTGGGGAGGCCAGCCCATGCTTTCTAGATGGTATTATTTGGTGGCTCAAAATCTGTTTGCACTTTTTTGTGTATCATAATTCTATCAATTTTGACAAGATCTCCAGTACCACTGGGGACCAACACACAGATCCTCCACTGTATTTTGCTGGTTTCGTTTCTGATTTCCTCTGTAGAAGTAGAGGGGAAAGAAAATATGTAGGCCCCAAAGCATGGTGCAACCTGTCAAGTGATGTGTATTATTTGGGTGTATGGTTTTGGTGGTGGTAAAGCAGGATGTTGATACAGGATGAGAGGCGTCTTGAATAAGGTTATCGCTGTCTAATCGCTGTCTAATCTCTTTTTACTTTACAACTCATTTGATGACTAAACATGAATGCTCTCATATAAAAATGTCTATTTAATGGGCGATATTTTTAAACGAAATAATAATTTATTTTGAAAAGCAGTACCGGAAGTTATAGAGCAACTAAAGGCGTTTTTACTTTTTGAATAAGCAGCAGATGAAAGTAGCTCAAACGTCAACAAAATACGTCAAAAACAACAAACTACAGTCTTCGCCGAGAGGAAGTTAAACAGTATGAACGATTTGTTTCATGTCGACACTCTGTAACAGTCTTTTATTTGTATGGACACACTACACATGCTAACTCTTAATAGCTTATAAGTCTGTGTGTAGGTATAGGTTGAGACGCTAACTTTATTATATTGTTATTTATATTATAGTTTAATCCCACTGTTTACGTGCTATTTCTGCGTCGGCGTGTCCTCGAATTTAGAATGCGTATTTTCTGTCGTTACAGTCTGCAGCTTATCTTATCACATCAGTCCAGAGTACTCTGTTATCTAAACTCATGTTCTTTCATCTCTGCTGCAGTCATGCAGTTCAACCGCAGGTGGAAGTTTGGTTGGGGCAGGTTCAGTGAGGTGGACCTCTTCACAGATCGCCATGAATCCAATGCAGAGACTCTCTCACAGGCCATCAGAGCTGCAGCGTCTGAGGAGCCCGATGCAGACGGCAGCGTGCTGTTTGGTCAGCTCAAGGGAACCGTGGTCGGCCTCAGATATTACTCAGGGGTGGTGAGGATCAGTCAGGGTCTCTTTTATTCCTCTAGTGGACAGAGGAGACAACACAGATCAGTTCTACCACACAGGTCAGAAACATGTGGAGAAACCTGAAAAGCAAAAGGTGTTTTTACTCTCTGGACAGGTGAACCAAGGGGAGATGGTCGGTTTAGTGCGGCAGCCTCAGAATCCATATGACCGCAACGCAGTGATGGTTGCCAACATTTATGGAAATCAAGTCGGACACATCAAGAAGGAGCTGGCAGCAGCAATGGCTTACATCATGGACAACAACATAGCTAAAGTAGAAGGGTGAGCTGCTATGTGCCCGAGACTATTCTCCCTTTCAGAAAATAGGACTATCATTACTTGAACCCCTAAATAAAAGTACTCAGGTGTTGCAGACCACTAAAATCACATTATTAATCAAACCATTTACTCCTTTTTTTTGTACATATATTCCTTATAGTGTACTGTTTTGGATAACAAATGTAGGATACTGGGTTTGCTTCCAAGAGAAGAGATTTTTGCAGGAAGGGCATCTTCCTGCAAAAATCTGCAAAACCAGACATGACATTGGCAAAGTGACATTGAGCTGAGGCGCATGTTCATTATTAGAGGATTAATGTTGGCAAATTGTAATTTCCTACGTGTACTAATACACTTCTCATTACTTTTTCAGGGTGGTATACTCGGGGACAAAAAACACCTACACCATGCCGGTGATGCTGTCCTTCTGGGGGAAAGAAGAGAGTAAAAATTCTGTACTGGAACATATGTCACGCCGAGGATATAAGCTGAACACAGAGGGAGGCAAACTGAAAGGTATGCCCTGCACAATCGCTGGACTTAATTTACTCAAATTTAATGTGTGTGTATGATCGTGGTTCTTCATTTACCTGCATGCGTTGGATTTCAGGCAACAATCAGCAGTGGTATAGTAGTCAAGATGCTCGTGCATTTTCATCAAAAAAAGGTGTGACCACTGCACTAACTGCCGACGAGGTAAATAAATTACATTAAATGTTTTAGTAGTACTCTGTAAGGCTTTATAGCTTATAATAAAATAATAATAATAATTATACATTTTATTTATAGGTCCGAAAACACTCAAGGACACCTTACAAGCAAATAAATAACAAACTCATGGGATGGACCAACATGTATCTGTGTTGAAAACAATGTTCTTTTACTCATATTTTTTTCCTTTCAGCTAAAAAATGCATTTGATAACCTTTTCGAAGGGTTGATGGAGAGTAAGGATGGAGAGAAAGAAGCTGCTGTGGTAGGTACTTAATCTGTTTATCTGTTTTTATTTATTACCTGCTTTTGTCTGCAATATGTTTGTTTTTAAACTTCATAAACAACAGTTAAACGCAATGATTGAGATCATTTTATTTTTTTTATACTGGAGTTAAGGAAAGAGTTTTGTATTTCTCTCCAAGCTGTCACTACATTTCGCTTTTCTTTATATCTGAGTGCAGCTTTAGTGTTTAACATACAACCGTCTCTCTTTCCAGTCTGTGGCTACTCCCCTCCTGCTCCATCAGAAGCAGGCGCTGTCCTGGATGTGCGCGAGGGAAAACAAAGCTGCCCTGCCGCCGTTTTGGGAGAAGAGAGGCGAGCTATACTACAACACCCTCACGTGTTTCTCTGCCAAAGAGCTACCAGAGAGGGTTCGTGGAGGCATACTGGCAGATGACATGGGGCTGGTAGGTGACACACAGATACACATATTTAACTGCACACATCACGTGATCATATTCTAACAGCATCCACAGTCAGCGTATATTGCACTGTTTCCTTTCTTTTAGGGTAAAACTCTGACTGTAATTGCACTGATTCTCACCAATTTTCACAAAGGAAAGCCGCTGCCTGTGGAGAAATGTGTAAGTAGGCGTGTGTTGCAGTCTTTTCAGGCAATATGCTTCATGAGTAATTTGTTTTCACCGATTACAAAATGTGTGTTTATATGTGTGCAGGTTGAGAAGGTTTCACCCATTAAAGCGAAAACGACGTCACAAATGGCCCTGACACTGGAAGGTACTGAAAACTTTCAACACATTTTATGATTTTGTCGAAATTAAATAAAACATGTGGTGTGTTTGCTTCAGGAGGCAGCAGTGCAGGTGGAGCTGGAGTGAGTGGCACATCAAGTGGTTCTAACCTGTGAGTGTATTATTGATGTACATTCCACTCAAATTATACAACCTCAATTCCAAAAAAGTTGGGACTCAGTGTAAAATACATGTCTCAAAAATAAACTGGGACAGTGGGACAGCGCCATGTTTACCACTGTGGAGCATCCCCTCTACAAAACTGTAAACATCCATACACCTTTCAAATTAATGATGCCTTTCCCAATGTGCACGCTTCCAATTCCACAGGCACTAAATCTTACCCAAGTCCATGCATTGATTTTAGTGGCAAAATAATGTCTGTTTTAATGCAGTGCCAGCTGAGGACCCAAAGATCACAGACTTCAATAACGATTTTTAGCCTGTGCACAGAGATTTCTCCAGATTCTCTGAATTTTTTGATGATATTATGTACTGCAGATAGTAAGGTATTTAAAGTCTTCACAATTTTGCATTGAGGAACACTATTTTGAAGTTGTTCCACAATTTGTAGACAGTTTTTGCAGATTGGTGACCCTCTGCCTCCCTAAGATGCTCTTTTTATGCCCAGTCATGTTACTGATGTTTTGCTAATTAACATAATTAGCTGCTAAATATTCCCCCAGCTTTCTTTTTAGTACCACTTGCTTTTCCAGAGATTTGCAAGTCATTGCATTCTGTTTTTATATACATTTTACACAGTGTCACAACCTTTTTGGAATTGGGAATCTATTTTCTGCACTATTATATTCTGTGTTAGCTCATGACCCAATTCCCCTGTATGAATCAGTACCCAGGAGGAGGTGATCTGTGTTGATGAACCACATGCAGTGAAGGCAGCAGATAAGTCAGAGAAAAGTAAGAATTGTCATCTCCACGTGTTTATTTTAAAACTTTTGTTTGTGCATTTGTGACTTACTTGCATTTTTAACCTGACTTAACCTTAACCTGACCTGTGCACAGGTAAGAGCAAAGAGAAGATGAAAGCAACCAAGAGAAAACCAAGCAAAGGTATAAC